AGGGAAAGGGGCTCCTGGGGGAGCATCTGTGGCACAGCAGTTCCTGACACGAGTCGAGTTGTTGGTGACCTGTCTGGAGTCCCCAATGATTTTAATTGCTTTGCATGTTGGCTCTTGCTGCTTTTCCTGTATCAAAGACTGTATTAAACTGTAATAATAAAAGCAGAAACTGTTTTTCCTTTCTCTTATGGCCCTTGAATGCCCTTGTGCCAGGGGGCCAGGAAGGCCACCAGCATCCAGGCCTGGGTAAGCACCGGTGTGGCCAGCAGGATGAGGGCAGGGATGGTCCCCCTGGCCTGGGCACTGGGGAGGCTGCCCCTCGAATCCTGGGGTCACTGAGGTTCACAGCCTCCCTCCCAGCAAGGCCTTGAGGGGCTGGAGCGTGGCCAGGGAAGGGCAACAAAGCTGGGGAAGGGTCTAGAGCCCAAGTGTGGGGAGGAGCAGCTGAGGGAGCTGGGGGTGCTGAGCCTGGAGCAAAGGAGGCTCAGGGGAGACCCCAAACCCCAGCCCAAGGCTGCTGAAAGCCATCATATGATGATATTGATCCTACAAACACCTTTCTACTGGCAAAATCATAGAGACAACAGATTGTGTGTTGGAGCAAACGAGGACAACCTTCCTCAAGCAAAGCTGTGCTATGAGCCCCCAGAACACAACCTCTACTTATTTTATTGGTGGTAGCAAGTGACTCAGAGCCGTGTTGGATAAAGCAGATGGATCTCTGCCATCCAGAGAGGCAGCAGAACCTGCCCAGGACCTGCCCAGAGGACAGCCAGCAAACCAACAGGTCTCTAAAGAGGATGTTTAAGGATACGAACCACGTAGCCTTTAAAAGCATGTTTAGTTAAACAAATCTTGCTGTGAGCAATTAGCAGCAGAGCGGGTGCGTGGTGAAAGGGTGATGTCATTAGCAAGTGGTGCATGAGAGATGCTAACGAAGAGCTGCAGCTTGAGGTACAACACTCGTGGATCTCACCACACGTGCACAGGGATGAGGAAACCCACCTCGTGGCCCCGGGTTGCCCAAGCAAGCTGCAGGGCAAGGAATGGGCCAGCAGCCCCTCTCCCTACGGGGCAGGGGATGAGGAGCAGGCTCCAGGCAGTCAGAGGGGTCAGGAGATCCACAGTGGCACTTGGGAGCACTAGGAAAGAGCCAGGATCTCCAGGACATGCTGGAGGCCAGTGCTGCAGAATCAGCCACCTGGTTTTCTGCTAGTGAAGCTCTGTGACCTTCCCTGATGGAGTGGTGAGGGATGGGCCCAGGCTGCCCAGGGAGGTGCTGGAGTCCCCAGCCCTGGAGGGGTTCAGAAAACGTGTGGATGTGGCACTTGGAGACATGGTTTGGTGGCCATGGGAGTGTTGGGTTGATGGTTGGACTTGATGATCTCGGAGGTCTTTTCCAAGCTTAATGATTCCATGACCTACAGGGTCCTGATGGGCCTGGCAGGGCAGCCCTGGAAGCAGACCCAGCCTTCTGTGAGGCACCTGGAGAACATCTCTCAGGTGCTGCTGTTCCCAGAGGTGAGTTCCAGGTAGCCTGAGCAGGTGGGGTTGGAAGGGACCTCTGGAGA